CGCGGCAAGAATTAACCCGCACCGGATATTAATACCAAATATTAGATGAGTTGACTCACCTTTTTACTTGATGAAAATATCCTCGGCTTGCTTCGTTATTGCTCAAAATTCTGGAAATAAACTGAGAGTGTAGAGGAATAATTAAGACAAAAAATGGTGCATAGTATTATTCCAAAAGCATGAATCAATTACAATGGGGCCTCACTTGTCTGCCACAAAGGAAAAAGATAAGAAAATTAATCAAGCTTTCAATATTCTGCTCACTTTATATCACTTCATCCATTTTATTTTATTTGACAATATTTTCTTATTGACCTGACCAAATCTAATTTGACAATATTCAAACTACCAATAACTTGTTGGAGTCTTCTTGACTTAATTACTACATACAATTTAAGTATCTGAGATGCATGCAAACCGCGAACCATACTAGATATATACATGCATCTGTATGTAACAAGTGAGATTCACATGAATTTGGGATGCTAGATACATAGGAGAGTGACGAGAGAGATGGATGGGAGGCGGGGGAGATTTGTCATATCAATACATGCAAATTCATTTGGATACAGTGTATCTAGAACAAATTACACCTAATTTTAACCACATGTATCTGAACGTATCTGAATGCACCAAAATCTAATAAGATTCATAGTATTATAAACTAGAGTGTATTTAAGTAATTAGTTTCTAAATTAGTTATATATATATAAAGATAAAGGAAGTAATAACTAGTCAAATAAAGAACAAAATTCCCATTCTAACAAGTCAATTATGCGTGAAAGAAGGGCAACTTGGGAACTTATGAACATTTGATAAAGTTGTAGAGAAGACTTGTTGACTTGATTTATAAATACAATTTAAAAGGAATAAAGAAGAAAAAATTAAAAACATCTTCTTGATATAGCTATAAATACATATTACTTGGCCTAGCGAAAAATATAAGCAAACACATACTTTACCCAAATACTTTTCACTTGCAAGTCTAAAACATTACACACCATGAAAGTGTTAGCAATAACACTATGGGTTCTCTTGTTTTTTATTTTGACAAATACCAAGTTTGTTGTTTGTGTAGGGATTTGCAGAGAAAATGAGCAACAAGCGTTGGAGACCTTGAAGAAAGAAGTAGACGATCCCTCAAATATTCTCTCTTCTTGGGTTGTCGGAAAAGATTGTTGTGAATGGGAAGGGGTCGTGTGCAACAATCTCACTCGTCATGTGATTGTGCTAAGCATTTATTTTGATTGGTTTGAGTCGAGATATCTAAGGATCAATAACCTAGAGTGGTTGACAAGTCTTTCGAGTCTTGAGAACTTGGAGATGGAAAGTGTTGATCTTAGCAAAGCTAATAATTGGCCACAGGTTATTAACATGCTTCCTTCTCTTGTTGATCTTCGTTTATTCAATTGTAGTCTTCATCATATAGCACCTCTACTTGATCATCACAATATTTCCTCACTCAAGTCTCTCGATCTTTCTGAGAATCGCAACTTAAATTCTTTTGTTCCCAAATGGGTTTTCTACCTCCCCAATCTTGTTTCTCTTGACCTGAGTGATTGTAATTTTATTGGCCCGTTACCTGACGGTCCAGTTAACTTGACTTCTCTCACAACCTTCAAGGCTTCTGGAAACTCTTTCAATTGTCGTTTACCCAAATGGTTGTTTGATTTGAATAATCTTGAACATCTTGACCTTTCTACTAGTGGCATTGAAGGTGTGATACAGAGTAAGAGCGGAAACATAACAAAACTTAAACATCTTGATCTTTCTAGCAATAACCTCAACTACACTATACCAAATTGGCTCTATCAATGCAAAGATCTAGAATCACTTCAACTTGGATTAAATCGTCTTGAAGGAACAGTTTCAAGTCTGATTTCAAATTTGAGCTCAATAACTATTATTGACCTTTCTAATAATATGCTTTCTGGAAAGTTACCAAATGTAATTGGAAAGTTAGGGAAATTAGGATACCTTGAACTCTCAGGAAATCTGTTTGAGGGAGATATATATGAATTATTCAATGTTAGGAGTAATTTCCTTTCAGTGCCATTGCGAAATACTTCTTCTTTATCTACTTTGAGACTAGGTTGGAATAAACTCACAGGAGCTCTTCCGGAAAGTGTTGGCCAACTTTCAATGCTAGAAGACTTTTCCATCTATAACAATAGGTTGGAAGGCGTTGTAACGGAAAGTCATTTCTCTAAATTAACACATTTACAATACTTTTATGCATCTAGAAATAATCTGACTTTAAAAGTGAGTCGGAATTGGATTCCGTCTTTTCAAGCCACAACAATGTTAATAGGCGGCTGGAATATAGGCCCTTCGTTTCCCATGTGGCTCCGAACTCAGAACCAGATAATGTATGTCGACATATCAGATTGTGGAATACAAGGTGAGGTTCCAACTTGGTTCTGGAACTTGTCTTCTCAAATTCGATTACTCAATCTTTCTCATAACCACTTTGTTGGTGAGGTTCCAATCATCTCAACAGATGAGCAGAGTGGTTCTCCGCTAATGTACTTGGCTTCCAACAATTTTAGTGGACCATTACCATTGATTTCAACCAATGTAAGAGAGCTAGATCTCTCAAGCAATTCTTTTTCCAAAGGTTTATCTAACTTTTTGTGTGAAGCAAAGAATGGATCATACAAATTGAGAATCTTAAACCTCGGGGGAAATGATTTATCAGAAGAAATTCCTGATTGTTGGATGAATTGGCCGGAGTTGAAAGTTTTAATCTTGAGGGACAATAATTTGATTGGAAGCTTACCAAGATCTATGGAGGTTTTGAGTAATTTGCGATCATTAGACTTACGAAGAAATAGACTTAACGGTCCGTTTCCTTCATCCTTGGAAAACTGCACAAAACTGCATAAAATAGATTTAGCTGAGAATGAGTTTATTGGAAAATTACCATCTTGGTTGGGAATGAGGTTTCCAACTTTGATAGTCCTTATCCTTCGGTCCAATAAATTCGATGGTGAATTGCCTCAAGAACTTTGTCACCTCAAAGATCTTCAAATCTTAGACCTTGCAAACAATACATTTGTTGGAATCATACCGAGGTGTATTGGCAATTTGAGTTCGATGGTTAAAAAAAAAAAGGAATTGGAAGATGATGAAGACTTAAATTACTCTTATTATATAGGAGTTCTGATAGAGAGTGCAATAGTGACGACTAAAGGCAACATGTACCAGTATGACACCATTTTGGCGTTGTTTACAAGTATGGATATGTCTAGCAATAATCTTTCTGGAGATATTCCTATAAGTGTAACACGTCTTGCAGGATTAAGATCATTTAATCTTTCCAAAAATAATCTGACTGGTAGGATTCCAAATGACATTGGTGTCATGAAAGTCTTGGAATCTGTTGATCTTTCAGAAAATCAACTTTATGGTCAAATCCCGCAAAGTTTTTCGAGTTTGACCACTTTGAGCTACTTGAATCTATCTGATAACAATTTGTCAGGTATGATACCATTGAGCACTCAACTTCAAAGCTTTGATCCCATGAATTTTCAAGGAAACAAACTCTGCGGACTTCCACTCTTGGTGAACTGCAGTTCGAATGGTAATATTCCAAATCACAAGTATGAAGATGGTGAGAGTGACAAAGATGAAGTGGATTGGTTTTACATTTCAATGGCTATAGGATTTGCACTAAGCTTTTGGGGTGTTTGTGGTTCATTGTTTTTCAAGAGATCATGGAGACATGCTTATTTTCGTTTTCTAGACCGTAGCTGGGAAATGTTACTTGCAAAGTTACCAATATGTTGAGAGATATGGTTTAGGATATTTCTATCTTCAAAAGTTACTGTGCGTGCTTACATTTCTCATGTTAGAAATCATTTTGTATTCAATATGTAGACTTTTATGTCTTAACAACTTCCTCAAATGAATGTTTCTTAAGATGTTCAAACAATGGTGTTTCTTTCATAGTTCCAATTTTCTTATTTCAATCAGAGTCGTGAGACATATGTTAATTAAATATTTTGACTTAATAGTATTTTTTTATGTAGTTTCCATATACGTAAATTTTATTTTTAAGAAATTGAATTTTTCATATCCGAATTCACTATTTAAATTTAAAAATTTAACTCTCGAAATCCAAACTAAAAAGGCGAGTCCTTCTAGGAATTGGCATATCTTGGAAAGAGACAACAAGTTCTCATAACATATCTCAAGGTGTGTTTGGTATGTATTCATTATTTCATATTTTGAAAAATATTTTTTCTGAAAATAAGTTTCTTTCGTAAATTGAAAAAACAACTTTTTTAGAGGAGTAGTAAAAACAAGTTCTTATAACACATTGTTGTGCAGGTTTAGAGCCTAGCGCTTCAGGCTAGGTTTTGGGAAGAGTTGTATCTATTTTCCTCATATTTTATAAGTTTTATGAGAAAATATTGTTTTATGACTTATAGTGATTCATAAATGTTAGTTCTGCGTGTTCGTGCTTTGTATTTTGTTTTGTGATCTTGGGTAGGCTTGCCTATCCGAGGGTTACATAGGTGTCATCACATCCCCAATTCTACAAGCAATCGTAATTGCAAATTCAAACTTCACTGCGACACTTACTTTATTTTGAAAACAATCCAAAAACTGATAGGAAAAAGTTTTTATATTTCAATATTGTCGATGTATTTAATCTGAGGCAAGACCTTTGAGTTTATAGATAATAAAAGAGTCATAAGATGGAAAGGTACAATCCAAAAAATACATTTTTGGTGTAATAAAAAAGGTATGTTTTTTTCTCATTTCTCGTTCACACTTTAAAAACTCCAAATAAAATTAAGTAGTTTCAATAAAAATCAATCAAATTACAAAGAAGAATAAAAAATACACAAAAGAAAAAGAGTACAACAATACTAAAATTTCAAATGCTAAATAATCAATGAAGGAGGGGTCTCTACCCCCCCTCCAATACAAAAAATGTAACCAAAGAAAACTTATACAATAAGCAAATAAATTAACAAAAAATAGACATTTTTCTAATTGAGCCCTCCAAAAATAAATGGCTTCTTATTAACAACCCTACATGATTTCCTCACTTCTCCTTGACCATCAATTAATACTTCAACTCTACCCAATTTCACCATGGCCTCACCAAACTTAGTGTAAAAATCAGGATCATTAACAATATCATCAACAATATTCTTTGTCAATTCATCCAATGCTATTTGCTGATCAATTTGAAGAACCCCATTTCCCTTTTTAATTTCTTGAAAATATGAATTATCTACCAAAGATGGAGTCTTCACATCAAGAGGATAAGTGTTATCAAATATTAATGAAATTCTAGGACATTTATCCTTTAATTCAGCCAATAGCCATGGGCTCATGCTTGGATCAGGACCACCAGTTTTATTGAAGTTGTATATTCTATCTTTGAAGAGTGAGCAACGAGCAACTCCAACAATGTGTCCACCAAGAATTGAAAATAAACAAGTAATTAACGGTCAATGAAATGAGATGAAAATCATATCAGAGTTCAAATTTCAGGAAGTGATGTCTTTCAATCTGTCTAAAATTTTGATGGTCAAAGTTATTCAGCGATCATGTTGATTAATTGTTACGAGGCAGCATGTACTCATCATAGCATGTTGATTAATTGTTACGAGGTAGCATGCACTCTAGAGTTATGGATTCAACAAAACTCATCAATATATAATTTTGTCTTGAATATTGTATTCATGTTTAAAAATTTATTAAATATTATAATTAATCTATCTAAAAATGCGGCAACCAAAGAAGATTATGGCTTAAAACCCTTAAATTTAAATCATGTCTCTACCTTTGAATTTTTAGTAAAATAGTGTATATACTCTAGGTGCACGCAACTCGCAAGCTAGTTTGAGTACCATTGTCATAAAAAGAATATGTAAGATAAGATAAAGGTTGTAAAATAAAAAGGTTAAAAAGGAAAGCATCCAAAGGTATGTCCCACTAGGCAACATAATGAAAAGTGAACCATAAATACACCGCTTTTCAAATCTTAGTAAAAGTAAGAAAATATTAGGTAATTTCTAATTTGATCCGTCTCAGATTCAGTGAATAGAGTTACTTGGTATATTCACCTAGTGGGAGATAGTATGTACGCGATAAAATAGTTGAGGTGCGCACATGCCGTAAAATGGAAAATTACCTAGAAGATAAACCATGTCTGTTTGAGTAAGACTTTTGCTTGCAAAGGGTTTGATGGAATCAGACACTGAAATTGTAGCAGCAGGAAGTTTCACATTTGATGCTAAGGAAACCTCTCCATCCCTTCTTCCTGTTTCTACATCATACCATTTTCCTCCAGCCCGTGACACTTCATAATCAAAACTAAATAAGATAAGTTAATCTCATTGTATTATAGTCGTACAAATATTGTAGCATATTTAAGACCACAAGTTTTAAGAATCTTCAGTTTTTCCTTAACTCCATGGCCAATCAAATAAGTTACGGAGAAAAATGTTACTCATTACTCGTTAGTTGACTATGCACGGAGCTTAAGAAACAAAATTAGACTTTTGAATATTGTGGATTTTAGATTAAAGATGTGTGTCATCCAATTAAATCTTATGATCTTAAACTTGTCATATAGAATATTCAAAACTGAAAAACTTACTAATATAGAAAACAACACTCTTTTTGAGACAGATTAAAAAAGAAATATATACTATCAATGGTACCATCGAAGAAATAGAGAAAATTACTAATTAGTCTCACTCATATTTTAAACGGATGTTTTACCTGATCCATTTCAAATCTAGTCAAAGGACTTCGAGCCTTGTTGAGAACTAAAGTCCTTAAAAAAAAGTGACCCCAATCCCTTCTCAACCTAGGTCAGAGGTCTTTTTTTTTTTTGAAATAGAATTAAGTTCGTTACGATTAGCAAATTAACCTCACATCATATCGATAGCGATCAGAGGACTTAATTATAGTTGTAACATAGAAAATCTCTAATGATATATGGAAGTAATAATGATGAAATAAAATGTAAAATTTACCAAGACAAGAGCATCTCTAGTTGCCATAGAAATAGTGTCAGCACAAGAAACTAGGCCTTGACATTCTGCTTCTAAAGCTTCTTTAATAGCATCAATGAGTCCATATCCCCTAACACTTGAATTTGGGACTGCTTTTTTCTCATTATTGTTTCCATCCAATAGAATTGATGCATCACAACCCTATTCATCATGTACATAAAAAAAAATATTAGTCCAATATCCAATGGTTATAGAAAATTGTACCACAAATATTTCATAAAGATCATTCTTTTTTCATAATACCAAAATTTTATGGAATTGGTTCATGAGCAAAATAAAAAAATTCAAAAGGAAATTATCATCAATTTTTTATTTTACCCTTTATGACATAATTTATAGGCACAAAAATAGAGAAAAGACTTAAAATAGTCCCTTATCTTTGAGTTCAGACTGAATGTTATCCTTATTTTTTTCACATGAAACACTAATAATACTTCATGTTTATAGTATTGGTGCAGTTCTAGTCCGCCCTCAAACTTGTCTTTACTTTTTGAGATCGAAAGGCTCATTATGTAAGATTTCATGTGCAACAATACAAATAAAGGTAAACTCTTGATTTAATTAGCTACAATGATGTTTGGACTAAAAAAGATAGGATTTAGCCACGGACAAGTTTTATAGCTAAACAACAAAATTTATCTTTACTCTTACTCAACGATCAATTTATGTTAGCTTCAAGTGAATTAGTGAAGAAGTTCGCAGCTAAATTCAGTTTTCTTAATAGAACACTCTTCTTCTCATCTTCCCTCATAGAGTTCTTGTTTCTACTAAATATAGAAGAAGAACACTGAACATTCCATACTCTAAATTGTGGACAAAACTAATGTTAAAAATACACGAAAGTTTAAGAGGACCAAAAGTGCATCAAAATTACAAACCAGAGGGATAATTAGTGTTCCATATGAAAAAGGAATAAGCATGATCTATTTTGGGCCTTTTTTCCACAAAAATGTCATTATAGGTTTAAAACCATGCATTCCAATTTCCAATATCCTACCCTTCTTTAATAAATTTCCTTATCGAAAGCCAAAGCTCACTTAAGCTCCATTTGAAAATTTGAATTTCTAAAACTAAAATTATTTACGAAAGCAATCATAAATCTATTCTGCCCAATGTATAGCAGACAAGAGATGGATAGTCTTTTGAGTCATACCATACCAAGAGGAAGTTCAAGAAAATCTCTACCATCAGACTCCGAATCTGTTTCTTATTTGAAAGTTGACTACACCCCATTGAAGCTCTCTTGCGATATGTGATTTTCCACATTGCTACCTATTGAACCTCTGATTTTTTGGAAGCAACTCTCTCAGTCTTATATTAGTTGTCAATATTATTTAAAATACTTATTTAATTTATTTCAAAACATTTGTCATTTTATAAGACAATTATTTCCCCTTATTTCATTGTTCTTGAAAATAAATAATATTATTGATTATATCCTGAGTTCAAATACATGATTATTAGTTGATGATGTTATGATTATTCAGATACCAATAAGAGTAGCTAGCTTTGTTGAGAGATGAGGATAAGATTTAAAATAAATAAATATAATAACTAATACGGAACAAAAGAAGTATTTATTATTAATCCTTCTTTTTTTTTCTTTTCCTTCTAATGTGAAAACGTTAAGAAAAGTCCTCTTTTATCAACTAAACGATTTCATCAATGTGGGCATGGTGGACATGCATGGCCCAAACAGGGACACTTGATAAAGTTGCAGAGAAGACTTGTTTAATTAGTAGTCATTTGACCATGAAATTTCATCTCACAATACAAAATTTATGAGATGAAATTAATGTTTAGACATGTGATTTTACGTTGATTTCATCTCATAATTTTATATTATGAGATTAAAATCTCAAATTCTCCAAAAATCATGATTTGAGATTTTTCAAATATAAAAATTGACTCTCAAGTATTTGTATAAAAATCTCACATTTATATCTACTAACCATTTATTTTATATTTAAATAAAATTTATAATTCTTATAGTTACTTTTTAAACCATTTATATCTCATGTAATGATTATTCTCACCAGCCTAAAATTTATTATTACTTCAAATCAATTCCTACTATACGATTTATATTCACCAAATTCATTATATTTTATCAAATTTATTTAAAGACTACAACTTATGTTTAATTTTTTTTTATTGAATTAAAATTTGATCAATAAATGTTGTTTTTCATAATAGTTTTGTGATAATGTATTATGAGATTTTATAAACTTTTGTTTATTTGATAAAATTGTATAAAGAATTGGGACAATTTTAATAATTTCACAACTTATGAATTTTTTTATGTTTATGAGAAACATACACTATAAAAAGTTCAAATTGCATGTCCAAACAAAACTTCTACTTAATCTCATGATTTCAAATCATGTTTTCATATCGCATATGGCCAAACAGGCCCTCAATTAAAGAAAAAAGAGAACTCTTTAAAATTTTCAACTCTAACAAAGTGGTGGAGCTAGCTTAAGATTTACTGGCTCACTTCAGATCGTCTATATTTATTAAAGTCAAGCAGTCCACATTTACATGCATCATCATACTAAAACTACACATTAATTTTCAATTATAGTACTATACCATATATGATTAGAATGTGTTATTAATAGCTATATATACGTATAGCAAGAAACTATACTTGCCACACATACTATTCAGTCCAAAATATTACACAACATGAAAGTGTTAGCAATAACACTATGGGTTCTCTTGTTTTTTATTTTGAAAAATACCAAGTTTGTCATTTGTAGAGAAAATGAACAACGAGCATTGGAGAGCTTGAAGAAAGAAGTAGATGATCCCTTAGATATTCCCTCTTCTTGGGTCGTCGGAAAAGATTGTTGAGAATGGGAAGGAGTTGTGTGCAACAATTATCTAACTCGTCATGTGATTGAACTACACATTAGTTATCTATGGATCGATAACCTAGAGTGGTTGCCAACTCTTTTGAGTCTTGAGAACCTGGAAATGTATCATGTGGATCTCCGCGAAGCAACTAATTGGCTACAGATTATTAACATGCTTCCTTCTTTGGTTGATCTAAGTTTATCCAATTGTAGTCTTAATAATATAAAAACTCTACTTCATCACAATTTTTCTTCACTGAAAACCCTCAATCTTTCTAGTTCTAGGTTTAATTCACCTATTCCCAAATGGGTTTTCAACCTTTCCAATCTTGTTTCTCTTAATTTGAGTGATTGTAATTTTACTGGCCCATTTCCCGACTTTCAAGTTAACTTGACTTCTCTCACAACCTTCAAGGCTTTTGAAAACTCTTTCAATTGTCTTTTACCTGAATGGTTTTTTGATTTAAGTAATCTAGAACATCTTAACCTCCGTTCTAGTGGTATTAAAGGTGCAATACCAAATAAGAGTGGAAACATAACAACACTTAAATAGTTCGATCTTTATGATAATAACCTTAACTCCACCATACCAAATTGGCTCTATCGATGCAAAGATCTAGAATCACTTTACCTTAGTGAAAACCGTCTTGTGGGAGCAGTTTCAAGTCTGATTTCAAATTTGAGCTCAATAACTAATATTGACCTTTCTGGTAATATGCTCTCTGGAAAGTTACCAAATGTAATTGGAATTTTAGGGAAATTAGAATTTCTTTCTCTCTCAAAAAATCAGTATCTGAATTATTCAAAGGTAGGAGTAATTTCTTTTCAAAGGGATATGAAATACTTCTTCTTTGATGGAATTGAGACTAGATGGTAATAAACTTACTAGAGTAATTTGAGGAATGGTGAATTGCTTCAAGAACTTTGTCAACTCAAAGATCTTCAGATTTTAGACCTTGCAAATAATACATTTGTTGGAATCATACCAAGGTATATTGGGGATTTCAGTGCAATGGTCAAAGGAAAAAAGGAAGTGGGAGATGATGATGAGTTAATTATTCCTACTTTTTTGGAGTTTTGAGAGAGAGTGCCATGGTGACGGATAAAGGCAACAAGTACCAGTATGACACCATTTTGGTGTTGTTTACAAGTACGGATATGTCTAGAAATAACCTTTCTGGGGATATTCCTGTAAGTTTAATAGGTCTTGCAGGATTAAGATCATTTGATTTTTCTAATAATAACCTAACTGGTAGGATTCCAAATAACATTGGTGAAATGAAAGTCTTGGAATTTGTTGATCTTTCAGAAAATCAATTTTACGATCAAATCCCACAAAGCTTTTCAAGTTTATCCACTTTGAGCTTATTGAATCTATCTGATAATAATTTGTCAGGTGTGATACCATTGAGCACTCAACTTCAAAGCTTTGATCCCACGAGTTTTCAAGGAAACAAACTCTGCGGACTTCCACTCTTGGTGAACTGCAGTTTAGATGACAATATTCTGAATCACGAATATGAAGATGATGAGAGTGATAAAGATGAAGTGGATTGGTTTTACATTTCAATGGCTATAGGATTTGCGCTAAGCTTTTGGGGTGTTTGTGGTTCACTGCTTTTCAAGAGATCATGGAGACATGCTTATTTTCATTTCCTAGATCGTAGCTGAAAAATGTTGCTTGCAAAGATACCAATATGGTGAGAGATGTGATTAGGATATTGCTATCTTCAAAAGATAGTTTGTATGCTTACACTTTTTATGTTACCAATCATGTTGTTTGATTTTGTATTCAAAGATGTCGACGTCTATGTCTTTTAACTCCTTAAATAAATGCTTCTTAATGCAAGATGTTCTAACATGTTGTTTCTTCCATCTAGTTCACTTCAAATTAGAATAGAATATTGAAATATTCGTAAAGTTAAAGTGTTAAAGTACGTACATTTGATTGTCAAGTTTGAGGATAATTTTATGTATTATTTATTATTTCTAGAATAATATTAATTGTTCTATAATAGTTGTCTATGCAAAAAAAAATAATGGTTGCAAGTAAGATCTACTTGTTTCAAGAGAGATTCTATTAATTAGTTGTATTATTGATTGAAAAATATATATATATTTTTTTTAAAATCAGTTATAATAAATTATTAATAGCTTTGTATCTCAAAAAAAAAAAATTAAAAATAGATTTCAAAACATATATTTACAATTTAAATGCATTTAATATCTCTTTTACTTCAAAGTATTTGTATTGATTTTTTATTTCGAGTGTTCTTGTAGTTCTATCAAAAAGCAAAACGCTTCTAATAGTAGTATTAGATACCGATGATAGGTTAGTTTTGTAATATCACTTGATAAGAATCGAGTTAGTTTCATGAAATTTAAGATGCAAAAACGTATGTGTAAAATATAAAGATATATAGACGCACAATTTTAAAAAGCAAATTCAGGAACTTTGGAGATATTTCTAAAACCTTCATTGACTACCATAGATAAAAATTAGTAGATTAAAACTCTAAAACCTTCGTTGACTACCATAGATAAAAAATAGTAGATTAAAACTAATCAGTAGATTGATAATTGAATAATTAGAGATAATAATTAATATAAAATTAATTATATTCTTCGATTAAATAAATAAGAAACAAAAAAAATTGAGTTAAAAATTAATGGCTATAGTCATCTGTGACCTCTTAAAATTGTCCGCATAATTCACTTGCACACCTGAACAAGGACTGTGACCTCTTAAAATTGTCCGCATAGTCATCTGTGACCTTTCGAATTTAAACCACTTAGACACTTTATGCAGATGTGGCACAAAAAATGTAATGCACTCCTTGTCAGGCGCGTGAAATTAATATATTTATGTTTTCCCTTTTCTTTTTTAATTTTTTTCATTATTTAAAAAAAAAAAATAATCTCTTTCTCTTTATTTGTTGCCACCATTTCTTTCGTAATAATTTATTACCATTTTTTCTTACAAATTTACTTCGTTTTTTTTTTTTTTAATCTTCTTATCATGTACTACTAAATTTTCAGATGTAGAATTAATCCTATTTTTTTGCCTGAAAAAAATGGAGATCATCATTACAGTTTTTTATTGGGAAATGGAGATCATCATCTATTCATTTATATCTTTTTTTGTCGAAAAAAATTGAGACCACCATCCACATTTTCTTTGCCGAAAAAATGAAGCCTATTATTCAAATATTTTCTCTCTCTTCATCTCCCGCAACTTACATCCCTTCTTCCCAAGAAATCGAATAAATACAGAATATTTTTTTTGAAATCACAATAAACAAAGGAAGAACATATCTTTCAAGAAAACACTATCAATTCAAATGGGAATGAAAAAGTATATATTTAAACTCCATTTTTTTTCTATATTGGGAGTTACTAATGGTGGGC